GGGGGGGTGGGGGAGGGGGGCTCTTGCCACACACGCAGGCATACACACATTAGCCAGGTGGCATATGACTAGTAGCTAGTCAGCGCCTGATAAGGCAGCTGATTAATATATATGCTAATTGTATTGAGTGTGTCTATGTACTGTAAAGCGCTTTAGAGTGGCTTATTCTAGCTAGATAGGGCGCTATATCAAATGTTGTATATTATATATATATATACGTCTGTTACATAGAAACGTGAAAACGGGAGGGGGGAGGCTAGTCGTGGGGATGCAGACACTGTTAAGGTCACACGTCACTGTGAGGACACTGGGGGGTCGGGGCTACATAACGACTGATAACGGTGACCTTATGCAATCCAGACTTCTTATATAAGCCCACTGTTCCCGTCGACAATTTAGTCCAACCAAGCAATCAATATTTTCTAGGTTAAATAAGATTACGCCAGACATTGTTTACCGAGGCTGACGCGAAGCTGGACACATCCACCGATTCAGTCAAAGCAACGCAGGGCGTAAACATGCATTTGAAAATGGCTTTTCGATTTTTCTTGAATTTCGCGATAGTCGTTCCGATCTTAATGTCAATGTCGGCGCCAGACTTCGCTTTAGATCTTGAACCTGGATTTGACGTTTTCTTCAAGACGAATCTCGATGAGATGGAGAATGTACCAATCTATTTTGATAAACCAATCCCAAAATGGCTCCAAGGAACACTGGTGAGTTATTATATATTTTTTATATCATAGATTAGATATTCCATTGATCAAAGTCTCATATCTTGTGTAATTCAGATTCGGACTAGAACTAAATATTGATCAATATAGTAGTCGTAGACTAATGATATAGCGTCGACAGCGATGTAGATTACACGGATGATGTACAGTGCGGGTACATGAGACTGTAATACATTTGACATGAGACACGTTATACTCTGTGAATACAAATATTAGAATTCTACAGAAAATAAGCGGATAATTATAAGAGCACACACAGGATTCCGTGTCATTATTACGCGAATGGATAGATTTTCTCTCGAATTTTCATATATAATTACGTTCTGTATTGATTTTATCCCTACCAGCCACTTTTTGCTTTTTATGATAAAGCAACAAGTGAAAGGGTCTGTAGAATTATATTACTGGTGGAGAAAATATAAGAGTGATTTGGAAATCTGCAGTCACCGTATTTCTCTTTCGTGTGAAATTTATTCTATCCAATATTCTCCCAAGAAGTCAATATTAAATATATGGTGTCTTTCAATTGAAAGCTTCCAAGATTTCGCTGTTTTGTAAGCAACGATATTGTATTTTGTCGCTGTCATACGTGTCCCAACGTGACAGGCTATATATTTACAATTATCGTCACGAGGCTTCTGATTAAAAAACAGGTACATGTAACATTTCATAGAAGCTGTAACGATTTTTGAATTATCTAAATATTTCCCGACATCTGAAATATATGGTGTAGTTGTGTAATAATGATGTTAGCGTACCGTGAAGTAAGTGTATCATTGTTGGGTATCGTCTACAAAACTAAACAATACGGATAATTAATTATATTAAAATAAGTAAACACAATTCTACGAAGGAAACATGTACGACTCTACGGAAGGACCGTGTTAGCTAGAAATTACAGTATATTATCTCGATATATATATAACTTGATACATGTAATTTTGAGTAATTTGAAATTTTGAGCAATCCACTTAAACTTGCTACTCTAGATCTTAAACTCGAAATTTCAATATGATACTTGATACCTACCGATGCAGACTTTTAACTCGAAATTGCGAATTATTTATACTTTATTTCGAGAAAAAATCTCGAAATCGACACTACTCGATATTTCTAAGCAATACTATACAGAACAATGTGTTAATACATTTTCTCGACTAACCATGAACTGTAGGGCTATCATATTTACATGACTAGTGTATATATAGATACAATCTGGTGATCACCGCTCAGAGGGGTCATTGACTGGACATTGTCTTTGGCGTGGTCAGTTTATCTACATTTGGTCTAAACAGACTGCCATTACACACATTACATGTATCGCTATAACAAGTATTATTTATTCACTTTCTTGTAAACGTCATGACGTTCCCATTGTGATGCTTGTGTATAAATGGTGAGAAATGAAAAGTTTGAGATACTTTACCAAAGAAAGGCGCTACTGTTTCATAGAAGTTTTAAACTGATATGTTTTGAAGATAAAAAAGGAAATTTAAAACAAATCTCGTTAATATGTGTTTTTGCCGTCAGAACAAAGGTATTATAGTTTGAGGTTAGCTGTGAATTTTTAATAGTCTATAGTAATTACACGAACACATCAAGCCTGCTAAATAATATGCAAAATCGTCCCCAAAATAGTAATAATAAACTTAGTGCGTGATGATAAAATTATATGCTATCTGTGATGTTTGTTAGAGTTATGCCCCTTTATGTGTCTTAATTAAAGCCTAACAGTTAAACTGTATTATTACCGTTGTCACTATTGTAAAGCCTTTCCTTAAAACAAAACCACATTTTGCGATGCATTTTCATTTCCCAAAACCATTCATACTTCTCGAAATTTGAATGATTGAAAATAGAAATAAAAAGAAGATATAAAACACGAAAACTGTAGGAGTCAAACTCGGAACTTGCGCTTCAATGTTCCATGTAGAAATTAAAAACTGCATAGCGTCAAAGTTAGTATCTAGTGCTTGAGACAGGGGAAGCTACTCCTCAAAGCCAGAAATACCCATTATCATCTTCAATATAGAAGGGAGACTACTCCATGTGAAAAAACAACTGAGTGAAACTCTTTTTGGCGATTATTAACCTCATTCACCCCTGAAGACACATATTTGAGCTCTTCTAATTCAAAGGTTGGAATAGTTCATTATGAAATTACGGGGGTGAATGAGTTTAAATTACATATGTCAATACACGGCTTCAAACGTAACAGCATTTTAACGTCCGCTTGGAACTGTAGTTCATTTCGGCCAGGACACTTACGTTGACCAGGAGGCTATATCAGTTAGAATGATAGTATAACAATCTGAACCCCGCTGATGTTTTCACTCGGAACATTTTTGTTGATAACATTTTGTTTATTTCATCTTCATTATTTCTCATTAAAATGCCGCACGATATGGTTTTCTATTTCAATAATAATTTATCAGATCTACAGTAATGCCGAAAAGACATGTTCCAGTACTTAGTTAAAGTTTTTATCAGTGGCACGGGGATCCTTAAGCATGATATATTGGACAATGAAGACTTTTGTGTACATGAATCTACTAAACCAACTCTTATTATTATCTTTCGTTTTTCTCCAGATAAGAAATGGCCTCGGCAGATTTGAAGTCGGACATCGAAACTTCACGCATTCGTTCGACGCTTTTGGAAAACTAAGCAGTTGGGTGTTTCCAGGAAACGGATCAGCATTTTTCTCTACAAAGTATATCCAGTCCGAATTCTACAAGGAGTCGGTGGATAAAAATGACATTGCAAGTTATCTAATGTTTGAAAGTGTTGTTCCAAAATTTAACGAATTTCAAAAGTTAGAGGCTCTGGCGAGAGGAATTGACAACATGAACGTTAATGTGTATAAGTTTACTGACCAAGATCACGATAACATAAGCCAGTACGTCGTTTTAAATGACTTCTGGAAACTCTACCAGATCGAGCCTTCGTCCCTTACTACAATGCAATCTGTAACAGCTGCTGTTCCGAGTGGAAAACATTCAGGAGGATTCGCATTTCTGAGCTTCTTGTCGTCTGCTCACCCTCTTCCAGAAAGCGGAACGTTGAACCATTTCACCTTTGTTTCCAGTGTTAGTATAATCCCTGGCATCAAAAGTAAGATCAGTCTTATCCGGGTAAAATCGACAACAGTGCGAGAGGCAGTCGCCGAGTGGGACGTCGACAAGGTACCGTACATGCACTCATTTTCGGTGACGCCGAATTACGTCATCATTTTTGCTGCTCCTTTTTATGTCAACGTTGAAAAGATCTTGCGCACTGCCGAACCATTTGACAGCCTGGATTGGTTCGATGATCAAGATACAACAGTGTACGTCATACACATCAAAACAGGACACGTACAAACAATGACCATCCAAAATGTGTTTACCATGCATCATATAAACGCGTTCGAAAGAAACGATTCCAAAATTGTCGTTGATATATCCGCCTACCCAAGCCCTGCTTTCGTCAAAAATCTCGAAATCGCCATTTTACGAGACGTTGTAAAGCGGAACAATTTTGACGCTCACGCTATTGTGAAACGTTACGTCATAGATCTGGAAAATAACAATGCAACTATGATAACCTTCGAAACAAACGAATCCAACGGCATCAGGTGTGCTCACAAGCTTGATATGCCAACCATTAACGAGAATTACCGTTATAAGGACTACTGTTTCGTGTACGGTGTTGTACTGAAATGGGATGACGTCCGTCTTAGTCGAATCGCCATTGTTAAGAAAGACTTATGTGGACAAAACAGAGACCGTATGTGGTTCGTGCCTAATCATTATCCGACAGAGGCATGGTTTGTTCCCTTCCCGTCATACAAAGCGAAGAACGAAGATGACGGCTATCTCTTAGTTCCAGTTTTAGACGGCACCAAGAAAAATACTTATCTGGCTTTCATCGACGCACGGACAATGACTACTACTCATCGCGCTTATCTTCCCACGCCTGTCCCATTTAGTCTTCATGGACGATTTTTCCCTGAACTAGTCGACGTCCCGAATAAAACAAAATTCTAGTAGCACCATGATATGTACAAAGAGCGTTGAAACATGTATATATGCCGGATAGCTACTAATACCACTTACCTTTATATACATTGGATGTCCTGACATACATTATTTTCGCTTGAATACGACAACAGTAGATCATGAATATATTTAAGTTAATTTTATGCGCTTATAAAATAAGTACATATCTATTGTTACCCTCCGCGGTTTTGATGATTCATAGGCTCTTATTGTGAATTAAAATCCCCCTCCCCCTAGAATGATAATGCTCACCTAGATAAATCACAAATTCATAAAGACAGATAATTCACAATCTCATTAAAAGAATTCACGTTTATCTAGATGATTTACACGCCCATCCAAAGAATTCATATGTTAAGTTTGTCAAGAAATTTCACGTGTTCATTTAAAAAAACGCTTCAGAGAGAAAACTCATCCTCATCTATATAACTCAGTTGTTGATCTCTCTAGCGTTTACTTTCATTTTCACTCAACAGTTAATTTGTAACATGGAACACTGTTATTGATATATTTTGTTCACCCTTAGAAAGCTCCGCTGAGTATTGGCTTCTTTTCAAGATTGAGCTATAGATGTGCTGCAAAACATGTTCTAATGAATAGTTACAGTTTCTGGAAGTGGTACGGGGATCCTTAAGGTGTAGTTACAGTTTCTGGAAGTGGTACGGGGATCCTTAAACTTTGTATTGAATACATACTGTAGCAGTTGCTTGTATATTTTATAATTAATCATGAACAAGATAATATATCACCTTATGTAACAACATTTTATAAATAAAACTAGTTTTGTATATCATTTCTGTGCCATTGTTTATCCCAATTTATTGTTTGTATTTATCATCAAGTAAGAGATTTTCGAATATTTTGGTAGATGCGCTTATTGATTTTTTTTTTTATATATACAGAAAGTGGTTTATTAAGTATTATTGCTGCAATCATATTGCATTTAATAATTGATTCATCTTAAGTTTATAACATGCAGTGTTTCATATGTGAATAATTACGTGGCATTTGCTTGATAACACAAAGGAATATCTTTCAAGTTGGTAACATCGAAAAAATGTTTCCAAGAATTGTCCATTGCCGTTCAGTTTCTGTGTTTAACAAATACTATCATTATTCCTCAAAGGTTTACTGGATGGTAATGCAGATTGATTAGATTGATATGTTCTTGGTATATTTACGCAGAATAAAGTGATTAAAACGATCTGTGAATGCTGTGAACAAAACATCTGATACATATAACTACGGTTCCGCTTTCGAAACATTTTTTTGATAATAATAATAATAATAATAAACATTTATGATGGTTATTACAACAATAGTCTGTATTTTCAACATTTTAAATTCAGTAAGTGAAATTTTAAATGGCATTTAAAATAATGAAAAAAATAAAAAGGCAGAATGTGGAGCTCCTTGTGCCATGCATCCGTGTTTTAGTTCTGAATAGAGCAGCAGTGACCTAGAGGGGTTACATAAAGTACATCATCAAATACATTAAATACAGTTGTACTTACCAGGTACAGCTTCAGTTTTCTATAATTATTTAAATAAAATACCATAATGTACTCCTTTTTTTAACTTCGCACCTCATTTTTGTGTCGCCTGCAACGCGAGGCGACATATAGGTATTACTTTGTCGGCGTCGTCGGTTGCGTCGTCCGAAACAAGGTTTCCGTGCCATTACTGAGTTCCCTTAGGTTGATTAAACTCAAACTTGGTACACATATTGCATACCAATATAGCTCGGACAAGTGTGCATTTCAGAAGTTTTCGTGCATATTTAGTGGAGTTATGCCCCTTTTATTGCCAAATAAGGGGATTATGTAGTAAATGCAAGAACTTTTCTAATTTTCTAAAAAAAAAAAAGTAATTCCTTTTAAATTTTGTACTGTAATGCTAGAAGCAATAATGTTCAACATATATTCCGGGGTTTTCTGTCGAGTTTCAACTTTCCGCGTTTTGGCATAACTGTTTACGCGATAACTCAAGCCAAAACACTTTTCTTACTAAAAGCGCTGAGCAGGCGACACATCCACTCCCGTGGAATTCTTGTTCTATACAGGGATTCATTTTCAATACAGATATTAATTGATCAGAAGACGAAACCCGAGTTCATAATTACCTGACTCTAGACTTGAAATGCCAATTTCACTACTCATTAGTAATCTGAAATGCGACAATAAGGAAGTGTGACGTACAAAGGATACTACTTCTACAGTTAAAACCGTACTTTGCGGTACTCGTACCTTCCGAAGGTTAACATCGGCAAAGTTTCTCTATTTTCTTATAAGAAATAACAATAGTTATAACCGTTTAACTTTTCAAAAGTATGTTCAGACGAAACGGTAGAATGTTTGTCTGCCTTTTTGTGCTCTTAGGGTGAAGTTTGGTAATGTTTTAAATGTGTCCGTAATCTCCGCCTGTGACAATACTAATCATGTTTATTCAGGTAAAAGACATTACAATTACACAAGAGGTACAATCATAAGACGTATAATTTTATAGAATAGATTATGTTACAGTAAGTAGCAATCACAAAAAGTTAAAATGAAACAGTAGGCCTTTTTACCTTGGATAACACATAAAAGTTAAAATAAAACTAATTTCCAATAGGGTCCATAAAAGAGTAGGAGAGTTATTTTTTAATAACTTTTTGGCACTTGTATATACTGTATAAGTTATCACAGATAGCTGTAACAACAATGGACACTCTTATACAAAAATACGTGGCTTCCAATAAAATGAAAACAAATTGTGATTATACATTGCAGTTCTTATAAAATACTTTTTACACGAGTTTTAAAATGCTTTTCTTTTGAATTTGCTGTTTAATGTCAGGAAGCATTTAATGAAAAAAGTTGAAGCTTGTATCCCTTTAATAACAGGAGTATACAAATCAAAGTGCTTATATCTAGTTAGACGAGATGAAGCTTTACGTGTACATGTATGGTTCCTATAGTCTGGGCACTTTCCATGAAAACAATTGAAACATGATTAAGTCTTAACTGTCAACTCGATCACTAATCACGAACCTAGTTGTTCAAATTCTAAGAATGTCACAATTTTTTTTCTGATGAAGATTTAAAATGAATTTTATTTTCAGCTACTTTCAACTTATCTTTGAGCTTCTTCGAAAGACCTTCTTACCATGAAGAACATGCACAATCAAAGTGACACTGAATTAATGCAGAACATAAAGATTTCCTGGTTTGTGGTATTTCTGCGCAGAAATTTTAACCTTTGATTTCCTTTAGTAATGATGGTATTAACGATGGATTCGCCAGATAAAAACCTGTCTACAGTAATACCCAGGTATTTTTCACATTTTTACATCCTTTACACCAGACGATAAAGTCATTAATATTCAGGTGTAAACAAAATGCTCTCAGTTTTACCGAAGTGAAGAGATAATTTGTTATCGACCAGCCAATCATGACAACCTTCCATAGTTTTGGATAACTTATCCGATATAAAATTTGAGTTTACATGAGAGAAAAAGGTTTTTTCATCTGCATAAAGCAAAACTTATATGTTTTGTCAATACTTAGTTGCAAATTATTTACATAGACTAAGAAAAGAAGTGGCCCGAGTAAGCTCCCTTGGGGGACCCCACAAGTAACATGACATGAATCTGAGTTAAAACCATTGATATTAACAATCCGTTTTCTATTAGATATACAAGATTAACACTAAGATATTGATCCAATTCCCATTATATGAAGTTAAGTACACAAAATCACATGGTCCACAGTATCAAAAGCTTTCTGAAGGTCTAATAAGACCATTCCTGTAAAAGAACATTTTGCTTAAATGTCACCTAAACGATGACTACGACGCGTATCAGTGGAAAAAGAGCTTTCGAAACCAGACTGAAATTCAACAAGAGTACCGTCGAATACCATATAGTGTTATATACTTTCTTACATTGAAATAAGATCTGCATCATTCTAAGAGTGGTTAGCTGACATGCTATAAAATTGTAGAAGAAAATCTCCGTACAAAATATGAAATACTGAAATGAACAAAGGGCAATAACTTTTTGCAAAAATCGTCGAATCAAAATTCTTTTGAGGGAGACATAACTTCATATCATGATTATAAAAGGACAATAACTTTTGCAAAAATTGTTGAATCAAAATTCTTTACAAGGAAACAACAACATATCATGATTATTTAGCCTACTAAGTTTCAAAGAAATCCGTCAAAAAATGTAGGAGGAGATTGCCGGACAAAAAATCAAATACTGAAATGAACAAAGGGCAATAACGTTCGGAAAAATTGTCGAATCAAAATTCTTTTAAGGGAGACACAACTTCATATCATGATTATAATGTATATCAAGTTTCAAAGAGATCGGTCGAAAAATGTAGGACGAGATTGCCAGACAAACAATAGTTTACGCCGGACGGACGGACAGGTGAGCTAAAAATAAAACATAATAAAGCTAAACGAGTTAGTCTTCACATTCTAAACTTTCACAAGTCCATAAAATAACCTGTTTCCCCTGCATGAAACACTTTTGAATGTATTCATATTGGGTGTAATATATATTAATTGATATAGGCTTATATAGCACAGTCTTTACAATGTGTGGATGTGTGTAACGTCTCGATGACTTGTACACTATTTAGCACCTTCATCAGACAAAAGAGCAGTAAAACGTATGAGATGGTGACTCGGCTGCGTATAAGTGTATGTGTACAAAGGAATTGTCCTAGCTAATAGCTCCACTTTGAAGACACCGAAACAGGGGAGTGCAGGAACTTACCCAGTTAGATATGCCTAAGATTTATATATTTTGATAGATAAATCACTAGGTTTACCAGTATTTCGTTTCTAAACACAATACGATGACACACACTGTTCATAATATGATTTTATTGAATAAATTAACAGTCTTGGAAAAAATACAAATAATGAAAAACCATCATTGATTATATATTATTAGTTGATCAAATTGGTAAAAGAAATCAGTCTCAGACTTTCTGGGATGGGAGATATTGATTTGATTACCTTCTAACAAAATGATTAAACTATTTACCTAAGTTAAATTACAATATTGAAGATCCAAAGCGATACAAATACTGTGTTTTGTCCTATTGAAGGAATAAATCACACAATAACATACATGTAAAGATGAACAACTTTCGTTCTTGTAATTAAATTTCAGGGTAGCAATTTATTGCTCTTTATATAAATCTACACGCTATTATCATTCTATATTTTCGATACAATCATATATTTTTATATGGAAACTACATGATACTTTTAAGATGCCCGTACCACTGCCATAAATTGGATGTTTTTTTCCTGTCATGGTAATAGATTTGATAAATCTTTTGCAAATGAAAACCATTATTTACCGGACTTTGATGAAAATAGACAAAGAATAAATAAACAATATATAATCAGCATCGGTAAAAATTCAGCAGGGGTAGGAGAGGTTTCAAACCGTTGACCTCAGACTGTTACACTATCGTTCTAACCAACTTAGCTTCGAAAACAAAAATGTCCTGGCCCAATACCGATGCAGTTATATCAAAACAAAATTAAGGGGAGGTTATTGTATATACGACCAAACCACAGTGGTATCTCTAGTGCTGGGATCCTTCAACGTTACCTATATTACTTATAAAATTTTTGAAGAATATGGTTTTGTTTATTTGATGTTTTGATAGCTTCACAAAGGTTTACTTTAACAACATACCCATTGCCATGATGGAGACAAGGGTCGGTAATCGTGAATCCGTTCTTATGCTTAAAACTCGGATTCTGCGTTCAATACCATTTTCTAGTTCCGGTAAACTTAAAAACACTCAAGAACAAAATATTTTTAGTATATATTCGGGAAAATCGTGAAAGATACTTCAAACCGATTTTTTTATTTTTTTTTATTTTTGACAATATTGCATGATGTATCTGCGTTAAAAAGAAAATTGCATTAAGCACAGGATCAATGCTATGTCCCCGTGCATTTTCTTCCAATCCTTTGAGTAAACGTGATAGTTTAAAAATCTTTTGATAATGAACCTTGCCTTGAGCTATGACAATGATAGAGTACTGTGCTTACATATGTATACTGTGAAACTGCTTTTAAAGGAGGATTTCTGGTTGATGAGTTATGGAACCTTTATTGATTAAAGATATTTCTTTTATTGCAAGACGTGTCAACACATTTTCATATATTTCGTATGAAGAACAATCAAAAATCAAAACTGGCTGGTACATGTAGGAAAAGAATGATACCGCATCACAGACCGAACAACCGTTATCACACATGAAAAAGACAAAAGTGTTGAGTGTAAGCCAGATTCCATCTTCTATCTCTACAAAAACATCATACATACTTTCACTGTTACGTGTATATAACCGAGCGAATACATCCGAAACTTGCAGTTGATATTTTTTATTCTCTTATTATTCCTAGCTTGACGAATTCATTTACATAATATATGAAACAAAGATGCATTTTCCACTTTCCGCCATCATATTCCAATACAAACATTCAGTCTTTTCAAGCAAAAAGCCATCATAGGTACGTCCCTGCGTATTACTTGCAACATAGAATACTGGTAAATCAGCTCGTACTAGAAATGTGATGACCATTAAGATATAAGTTTGATTAAAGAATTTCTAAATCACAAATTAAAAAAACCCCAATGACAATGGATATCAGGATGGGCATCAAGACCAAATGTTCTCGTCATCCAGGCGGTTTGTCCGTTGAAATGAAAAGAGGCATCATCTCACCACACTCCAATTGCCCCTTTAAGCGTTCGGTTTACAACACAGAATACCGGAGCAGCTGCAAAATACAAATAGTTATTAAAATCAATACTTTGTTAGTGCTATTTCCCATAACTAATTCGAAGGATCTTTCTCAAATTTTACCGACAGGTAGCCATCTTGAATTTGATAGTTGTTTTGTTAGCATTGTAGTTCAGAAAGTTTTGGAGGGGTCTTTCTCAAATTTTACATGAAAGTTCCCTACGGTCCCTAGTTACGCATATTAAATTTTGGAACAGAAGGGAAAACCAAGATGGCCAACAGAGAATGAATGAAAGTTTGATAGCGTTATTTCTCAGAATGTTCAGTAGGGGTCTTTCTCAAATTCACATGAAGGTTCCCCATTCCGCATTTCGTATTTTGGGGATGATTAGAAAACCAAGAAGGCTGGAAGGAAGTCATAAGGAATTTGGGAGTAAAAGTCTTTTAGCCCTATTGCTCAGAATGTTCAGGAGGGATCTTTCTCAAATTTCACATAGGGCTCCTCTCGTTCTTTGTTATGCAAATCAAATCATATCGGTCGGCCATCTTGTTACAGTTTAAGTTTGTTATCGCAATTTCTGAGAATTTACTGGAGGTAATTTTCACAAATTTGATATGTAGGTTCGCCTTGGTTCTGGATTGTGTATGTTCACTTTTGATGCTGATTAAAAGATTGATTTAGATGCATGGCAGACAGGCAAACTGGTCAAACAGATAAGAGAAAAGAAGAGAAAAGATCGAACTGACAAAGAACTAATGAAGATGGTACAATGGTGGGCGCCAAGATCCCTCTGGTATCTCTATCCTATTGGATTCTATGTTAATTTACATTCTTTAAAATACATTTTCCTGTCTTCGTTTTAGCTCTCATTAAGATAAGAATTTGCACATAGCTGGGAAGTTTTTTATTTTTATTTTTTATTTAGAGGTTAATTTCAACTCTGTAAAGAAGTTTCGCCTTACAGTACTATAACAGACACATTGTTACAGTTTGCCTTCCAAATTGCTTCGACAGATTAATTTATCAAGGTTAAACTTCTACGTAATTATATTTTTATCATCAGAAGGGCTGGATAATGTTCGGGTTTTGTGCCAAAATTTGTCGAAATGGATTGAAAAACGAAGTCAGAAAATAACTAAGTAATAGAATATCATCTAACGTAATGCGAAAATGACGTACTATAAAGGACTTATAACACGTCAATGTTTATGACAAATGTCGGGAAAAGACATGATCAATGTGGATGTACTTCATTCATTCCTTACCCTGTACTATTATCTGTACAGCACTCATTTAAATCCAGTGTATACAGTGCGGCCGTCCAGCCGCCAATGAATGTCATCAGGTCGCTCTTTTCTTCTTCTTTGTCCTCCTTAAAAGCAAAAAATGTAACCGTACATACTTTAGTGATATTCTAATTTGAGCGCTTTGATTGCACTGATTGAAGTTTCTGTTTATGGTATTCTATTGCATAAGGTGTGAGGACATCAATACATAAATACATGAATGCGCTTATCTGTTAAAATTTGATAATAAGTACTGCTAAAGCATATATTTTACCAAAAGTATATATGTACATTTTTATGTGGCTAAATTATAATCATTAAGAAATCGCTTTTAATTTTCAATAAATAGTTTTTGAAATACAAACAACACAATGCTTTGGGTTTATTTCTGAAAGTTTCACATTTTGTTACTGTTAGTAATTTCAGTGGAAACGAGGCCGTACTTCTGTCAAAGTCATGTCATGATTGCCCCCCCCCCCCCCCCCCCCCCCCCCCCAACAATATGTCCGAAACATCGGTATAGTCACCAGGTAGAAATCATTCAGGTAGTTGTTTGTGTTATGCTTACAAAGCAACATTTTGAGTGAGTAGATAATTAGTGGTTATATAACGAAAATGTTGAAAATATTGAAAAAAACCTCTTTATTTGTTTTTCATGTACACATGAAAAATTAAATTGTACGACTGTGATTTCGACCAAAGTATCCAAAACCCTTGTGGAAATTCTCTGATTTGGATATTTAATTTAGAATCAATTTAATTAATTTGGCATCAAAGATTTTCATATTGTTCACAAACTTTCCAATCAATTTTCACTTTTCCTACTTTATATTTCATATCTGAACCCAACTCTGATTTGTTCCAATAAACATTTCAAGAATTGATAATTTTAATAATATTAAATTTAAAAAAAATGATCTTTGTGTTATTGATCATATAAAACCAAATCGAAACACAAGAGGTAAAGGAGACACAGAACAAAAGAAAACCCCAGATGAGTGGGGGCACGCTGGAGTGCTCCAGAATAGTTACCATCGTTTCAACACTGCATGATATCCGGCATGACTTTCTTCTGTCAAATCAAGTCAGAAAAAAATGCAAGTAAAGAACGATTCGAAATACAATATTTGTTTCGTATCTATCCTGTCTTGTTTGTTTCTTTCCAATTCTCTTCCCGATGGTGACTAGACACACGTCCTCATGACCCTGGCTGTTTCAAGGACGTTAAACCCTAAACAACTTAAGTTTATATCGGTGCTTTCCTAAAACAGGCGGTCACACAGACACGTTTACTTAAATACTTACCCTGATTTTCTCGTACGTAGTGTTATATATAGCGATGAACATGTTCAGCGCGAGTATTGCAAACAGGAAGAGGAAGAGGGTGACAAATATCGAGTTGAACCAGTAGGCCAATTGGCTCCCTCCGTCTGCAGCAGCCATGGTCACGTACACCTCGTCACCGTTCATGAGCGCGAGAAGACACTGGAACGTGGCGGTGAATGACAGGAACTGTTGGATAGATTTTCTACATGTAAGTCATTATTCAATATTTTAAATAATATCAGGTGTTATACTTTATAAAACCACTAATCATACAGGTAAATAAAATAAAGTATTCAAGAGAATCATTCGTCAAAGGGAAAATTGTACAGGTAATTTACAGAAAAAAGTTACATAAGAACATTTCATTTGTACAGGTAAATTTAAAAGGTCAATTCATGTTATTGTTCTTCTTTTCTCTAAACCAAACCATACCAAATATGAGTGTTATTGATAAGAAAAAAAAGTTTAAACGTTTTTTTCTCAAACATATTATTGACATTTTTTCACCTTCACATTATAAGGCCCCAGCACTGCCCATCCACACAATACGAATCCCATGTATACGACAAAAATACACAAGAGGAAGCGCAAAACAGGCAAAGCAGACCGGTCTAACACGAGGAACAGCAGCTGAAAACATCATAAAGTACTTAAATAGTCAGGGATGAAATAAACAAATTGTATTTGCAATGGCTTTGCTTATGCGGAATAAAATTCTCACGTTTATGAATATTTCTAGCAAGACCGACGACGAAAATAATGTTCAGTTTATTAAAGTACATATGATACAAAATTATACGGAATGGAAGAGTACACGTGGAACTGGTATTTGAACATGCGACCTCTAGATTCTACAGGACTCTCCAAAAACTGGTGTAACTGAAGTTTTATACCCTTAAGACACATATATGACTATACTATTATAAACACTTCATGCCAATCGTTTATAACGGAAATAATTTCACATGCGTTTTTATTGCATTTCAGAGGCAGTTAATGTGTTTTTTCAGGTAAACGTGAATCTCGTTTACTTTTGTAGTATGTGATAACAATATACAGAAAAAATATGATGACTTACACTACATGGCAAAACTTACAATAACTGGTTTTCAAAGACGCAAATTGCTGAGACTGGACAAGTTTCATAGTTGCTATCATGATCTTTTAGGGAAATATGCTATGTCTTTGTGTAATGTTTCGGTAAACACTTTTGATATGTTCATTAGTGTGCATTGTTTCTACTTCAGTTTTTGCTATGAGAACGTTACATTACTTATATTTGACCTAAATGGCGGGTGTCGTCGAAGAAGCGAAGGACGCTCACACTCTCAGAACACCTGGTCTTATTATTCTTGTGTCTTTCAAGAAGCTTCATGAAAATATTGTTTATATCGATTTCTAGTTCGAATTACAATTTTGTTGACAACCCGGTATTCTTTTGTATTATTTACCATACAATGATACACTGTACAACTTACACTGAACACCTTCTCAAAGGCTAAGTAGTGGAGAGCTAATATCCACAGCAGCATACATCCAATACCCAGTAAGATTGCGCACATATCCAAATCCTCGGATGTGGACAGCTCCTTTTAAGTAAAGCACATAATGGGATAGTTTCTATGAATACAAAATGTATATATAACCATAATATTTTGTATAGTTGAAGAAGTGAGATTCAGTTAGACACTCAAAGTTACTAAACAGAACGGAACTTAAACCTGTGCTGTGTTTTACATGTCTTATTAAACATGGTAAAATTATACGAATTTAATGTGTTGTAATTAAAATACTATAGTTTTAAAGTTTTAAAAGTATTGTTGTAGCTTAATATAAACTCGAATCACAAAAATAACAATGGTAAAATTGTTTTAAGGTTATATATATCAGTATTAAAGTAAATATGCATAATCAACACAACATAAGGCACTTCAATCAAATAAAACATCGTCATTGAATATTTCAGCATTCTGAAATTTTCATTTTTCGACATTTTTAAGCCCTCGCAATGACATTCATATTAGACGGACAGCCTTGGGAGATACCATCGAAATAGTATAGAGGCAGTGTCCAGTGTCCCCAAAACAGAAGATAAGAAAGGCCCGATTATGCAGGGGACGCTGATTGCTTGCATCTTGCGACATTCAGAGAGGTACAGCAGGTCTATTTCCCCCTGTACAGGGATCGTAATTAGTATAGGGCATTCCATGTATTAAGGTACCATGTGGGTGACAAAACTTATGATTAACCGATTAAACTATGTATACATGTAACACTAAAGTAGTTTGGTATTCATAAAACCTAAATACATGCAGTAGCACTGATACTATTTTGGGCATTATATATATAAATTGTCACTGGTTACATGAAGCATAATTCATAAAAAAAATAACATATGGTGGACTGACACTATAAAGCATAACACGAGGAATGTGAAGCTATGTCAAGTGATCTTATTAACTCATTTTGGACTCAAGTTTTGACAAAGAACTCAGTACTAGCATCGAAGATTTTAATTATCATCAACTACACCTTAGCACTAGCATTATAAGGGGAAATCAGCTTTATCCTAAACTAGTTATTTGTCAGGCTCTTGAGTAAGTATAACTTCACGTCATAAGCGGGAGTACTTCAAGGAGTTCCCATTTGGCCAAATCAGACCTGCGGGAGCTGAGACAATCATTTTCAATACTGTCCAAACATAATGTGCACCTACTCACCCCAACATCATATCGCAACTTGAGACATGTACCAATGATGGTTGAAAGACAGCTGATGATAATCATGATGTCACGGAAACGTAATATTTCCCAGCTTCCTCTTTTTGACAATACATTGTTAGTTTTCTTCTTGAAATATTTTCTCACTTTCTGAAGGTATAGCAGGTATCGTAAGATTCAACATGAATAGTTCGATCGGATAGTACAAGTAGAATAATTGTAAAGTTCATCCAGTGTGAAAGGTTACATGATATGCAGAAGTGAGAAATTAATAATTAGTGTAGAAACTTCCCTCGATAATTTTATATTCACATTTGCGCTAAAACCCACGATATGAACATAACTAGCAGGAATGCATTTCAGTTGAGTATGCAAGCAAACACATACGTAAGTAACGTAACATGTGGTTTACTTATGATGTCATGGATTAATCTTGTTGAATGAGAGTTATGTCGCTTCACTTCGTCAAACGCTCAAATGACTTCGTATAATTGTTGGCACCAATTTTAGATAAATAGGGCTGTTCCGCCAATGTCGTTTAAGGACGACTCATATACAAAACACAGTAAATAAATAAATAATGTTAGAACAAACAAATAAAATAAAACATTTGCTCTATAGTATAAATGTAAATATATGGATTGAACGGCCGTTTTTAAATTTTCATACCGGTATGAACGCTAATCGGTTACATTCATATTAAACATGAAGCCCCAGTGGGCTTCATGCAATATGGATGTAACCGACTTGCGTTCATACCGGCATGAAAATTAAAAAAACGCCGTTCAATCCCTATATGTATAACGAAATGATGACAGTCTTTCTTTATTTCCAAAGATGTATAGAGTTTTCGAAAAACCAAAATATCTAGCCCTTGTCACCAAAATAGAAATCTATACAAACTTCAGAGTCAGAACTGAAAAAAACATAATATGAATATGGTCTGCATAGATAAATCCCAAACGATGTCAGCATCATACTGGTAAAAGATAGGCAAAGTATATATCCATTTCAATTTCTTGCAATAAACCATTATTTGTAAGCAGATTTGTGCAATCATGTAAAGGCTTATATATTTTTTAATAATAATAATAAATGATAATTGGAGGTTCTTATATACCGCTTTATCACAACCTAGTGTAGGTCGTCTCAAAGCGGTTTACAAATTATTATCCGTGGTTATAGGGCCTTTGCAACTAGCCAATACATTTCTCAACTCCCTCGGGAGCATAAAGGCGGAGCTGCCATTTCGGCGCTAACAGCTAGCATTTGTATTTATAGTATTGGGGTGGGGATCTCAACCGTTTCAAAGTTATAACCAAGGGGTTAAGTCTGCAAGGGTGGGGCAGACCCTTGGGTCAATTCTAATATCATGACTACATTCGTCTTTTTATGCCCAACAATTGTATATATAGTTTTGTTATGGGGATCTTAACCATTTCGAAGTTATGACCCAGGGGTTAAGTCTCCAAGGGTGGGGCAGACCCCAAGGCCATCCTGGAAGCATATGTGCATTCATCTCTTTATACTCAGCAATTGTATATAAGCATGGTTATAGGGTGGGGATCTCAACTGATTCCATGCAGCTGTGACTAAGAAACTAGGTCCTAGGGGTTCGGTCAGGCCCAAGGGTCTATTCTAATACCATGACTATTTTCGTCTCTTAATGCCAAGCATTTGTATATATAGTTCTGGGGTGGGAATCTCAACCGTTGGTCAGCCCCACCATTTGTACAATTTTGAATCCCTGCCTCCCATGAATGCTTCTGACCAAATATGATCGATATCCATGGCATAATTCTACAGAAATCGTTTGTAGCAATATAGCCAAATTGCCCCCTTTTGGCCCCGCCCCTCAGCCCCCTGGAGGGTGTCAGCCAAACCATTTGTTCAAATTTGAATCTCCACTACTGAGGGATGCTTCCAGTCAAATATGGTTGATATCCATCTCTTAGTCCCAGAGAAGAAGTCGCTTAAATCAATACAGCCGAATTGCCCCCTTTTGGCCCCGCCACTCAGGCCCCTGTGGGGCCAGACCCACGGTTTATACAAAATTGGTTCCCCTTCACCAAAGGATGCTTCAGACCAAATATGGAACAAATCCTTTCATACCTACAGAAGAAGGATTTTAAAGAATTTACTATGTTTCCCCTATTGGGCCCCGCCCTCAGGCCCCCGTGGGCCAGACCCACGGTTTATACAAAAAAAAAATCCTTTACCAAAGGATGCTTCAGACTAAATATGGAACAAATCCTTTCATTCCTACAGAAGAAGAAGGATTACGTTCTTACCCCTTTTTGGCCATGTCCCTATGTTCCAATAAAACAAAAGGAAAAGGATTTTAAAGATTTACCCCTATTTCCCCTATTTGGCTCCACCCCTCTGCTCCCAGGGGGACACGCTCTCCATCTATACGAAATTGAGTCCCCTTTGCCCAAGGATGCTCTCAACAAAATTTGGTTAAAATTCCTCCATTAGAGAGAAGAAAGTTGTTTAGAAAGAAGAGAAAAGATAAGATCCCAAATTAAGTCACCTCTTAAGATCAACAATGGGGGCAGCAGGTACAATTGTTACGCCCTACCTGCAGGGACACTTATCTATAGCAACACAAGTAAACTTATAGTTAGCTTCCATCTATGGTATAATGGTTACCAACTCATTGCTCCGCGTGTATACTTATATACAATTACACGTGAATACTTACATATAGCTACACATTTATACTTATATACAGCTTCACGTGGATACTTATATATAGCTACACATGTATACTTATATATAGCTACACATTTATACTTATATACAATTACACGTGGATACTTACATATAGCTACACATTAATACTTTTATACAGCTACACGTGGATACTTATATATAGCTACACATTTATACTTATATATAGCTACACATTTATACTTATATATAGCTACACATTTATACTTATATACAATTACACGTGGATATTTATATATAGCTACACATTTATACTTACATATAGCTACACTTTTATACTTATATACAGCTACACATTTATACTTATATACAATTACACGTGGATACTTATATACAATTACACCTGGATACTTATATACAATTACACATTTATACTTATATATAGCTACACATTTATACTTATATACAGCTACACGTGGATACTTATATATAGCTACACATGTATACTTATATACAATTACACGTGGATACTTACATATAGCTACACATTTATACTTATATACAGCTACACGTGGATACTTATATATAGCTACACATGTATACTTATATACAATTACACGTGGATACTTACATATAGCTACACATTTATACTTATATACAGCTACACGTGGATACTTATATATAGCTACACATGTATACTTATATACAATTACACGTGGATACTTACATATAGCTACACATTTATACTTATATACAGCTACACGTGGATACTTATATATAGCTACACATGTATACTTATATACAATTACACGTGGATACTTACATATAGCTACACATTTATACTTATATACAGCATACACATGTATACTTATAGGTAGCAGTGTACAGTAGCGTACATTGGGTGATAATTTTATACAATGATTAACCCCTGTAATATTACATGTATCAAAATTAGAAAATAAAATCAGCACTAAAATTGGCATATATATCTGATGAAGTGGACTATGTGGTCTTCATAATTTAAAAAAAAAAATCGAATTTGGTTTGAGACTACAGTTTTGGGCATTTACAAATCTGTGTCTACACAACAAAAGCTGTCTTTTCATGTAGTCTATTTTTGTACTTCGCACATGTGTAAATATTGTGAAAAATCTACCGGAATCACCTTTGCTAAAACGTGAGTATTTCTGTTACCGAGTAGGCTATATTTAATTTCAGACAGGTTTTAAGAAACAAATTACTACTTGGGGGTGTCAAATTTTAGGTTGAAAATCATATTTTGCGTTTTTTAACCATGGTTTTCACAAGTCCCAAATCTGGGAGAAACAGTTGTTGAAAACAAATTTAGTCTTCTAAACAAAATGTATGCAAAATGTAGTTTATAAATATATATATGTATGTAAATGTGTTGTGCAGGTTAAATCCACTATCCATGTTTATCTGAGATATGCCCTTTATTTTTAGGATCAAGCGTTTCAACTGTGCTCTGCTACCATATAGCGACACGTGTATATTTATTTGTATATACGACAACGCACGTATACTTATAAACTCATAGCTTTACAAGTATATTTTCATATAACTACACGTGTAATATTTACACATTATTACACATGTGTAATTATACTAAACTACATATATAAACTTCTCTTAGGTACACAGGTACAATACTTACACATAACTAAATAGACATAACTGCTTATATGTATACAAACACATAACTATACTTACTTGAAACAGAACCAAGGAAGTTCTAAAGGAAACGACACTCGCAACCAAGCTGGCGATGTTCACTAGGAACACCATGCTTAACAACAACACATTAAGTGGATCGGTTGCTGAAGTTAAAAAAAGGGTTAATTTAAATTGGTGCCAATTTGGGTCTTCTGGTGGCTATATCTATACATTTGGGTAATACAATCATGATTTGACATTAAATTAAGGTCAACTTAAAGACCATTCCGAGATATTAGTATACGAGTAATGAATTTGTGAAATACAACAAGTGGCTGTAAAGAGCTTGAACATTGTCTGTCAGTGTTTTAAGTATATAGAGCAATAATGAATGATGGATTCACATAAAAATATTAAATTTGTTTTAGTTTTGATTGATATATTGATAATATAATGGGATGAATCCGCCCCCTGACACACACCGAACATATTTCTTATGACAGATGTCCTTATATATGTGAATAGAATTGTCTACATATATATAATGTACTTGCTTCCTAGTTCAGTATGCAGTACATTTGTAATTTTCAAATTCATTCAAGACCGGGCAAGTTCACTTGCATTGTAGTGTCTGAAATACTGACATAGTCGATCACTTGCCACTAGCCATCATCTATTTACAGTGCAAAAGGATTTATACCATATTTTGAACTGACTATATCTTGACAATCAGGCAAGTGGATTCTACTAACAGATATAATAGATAGACCTCTACCA